GAATCTATTAATCTATGAATCTATATGAGTTGATCTACATTTAAGAACAAGTGATGTGCGCTTAATAATGAGAAACTGTGCAATTACTCAGTTTGCGGAGCTCTATTGTTATTTAATCTGTGCATTGTGGTACTGCCTATAGGTCCCAATCAGGGCCCAGACCCCACTGTGCTAGGGGCTGTACAAACACAATGGAAGACACAGTCCTTGCCTGTATTACTGCCTGCACACAGGTTAGTAGTCATTTTTAAATGTAAAAACCTGTGCTACGGAGGGACGCTCTCAAACCTGATTTAGAAGTCAAACAATCCCAGCTCTGGTCTGTTAGCCCCAAGCCAGGCAACTCCTGCTACAGGGCCTTGCAGTGTGAATCGTGGTCCCTTCTGCACTGCCAAGCGTCTGGCCCCGATCATGGCTGTGCTGGGCAGGCCTCCCCGCGGGGCCCCTCTCCCAGCCTGGCTGCGGCCATGTGCCCGGCTTGCTCCCTGAGTCAACTCCCTGCCCTGGCTTCAGGCTGTATTTGGGCCTATTGCTCAGGTGTGCTCTCCCCTAAGCCGGTGCCGCCTCCTACCCTGGGCCAGCCAGTTGGCACAGAGACAGCCAGGTGACCTGCAGCCACTTGGGTAGGACAGCCCTCTCTCTCTGGAGTGGCAGCGCCCTCCTCTAGTGAGAGCTTCCTTAGCTCCTGTCAGACAGGGCGATTGTGGGAGGGTGGGCCATGGCATGTGGCATGGGGCCTATGTGGCCAGTGACTGCCACAGACCAGTGTTTGGTTAATGTCATAATGTCACTGCCTAAGGGCTGGCGTAACCCATTAGGCGACCTATGCGGTCGCCTAGGGCGCTACAATTTGGGGGGGAGCGACCGCGGCGGTATTTCGGCGGCGGGACCTTCCGCCGCCTCTGTGGGGGGCGGCATTTCAGGGCGGGACCTTCCGCTGCCTAGGGCAGCAGAAAAGCTGGCGGCGTTCCTGAACTGCCTCCCAGCACCAAGTGTGGGAGGGGAAACCTCTCCCTGAGTAGGAGAAGCGGTGATTTCAGACGGCTGATTAACATGTCGAGGGGCTTGTGCTGTCACTGGTGCACAGTGAATGGAATCCTGGCAGCAGCTGGGGACACAGGCCGTGGCCAAACGTAAGCTTCAGGGCGGAATCCGATGGAGAAGAGGGTTTAGAAAACAAAAAATGAGAGAGACTCACAAACACGCCTGCTAACCCCTATGGAGAGGAAAGACATCCTTGTAGTTTAGGTGCTGGGCTGGGACCCCGGAGCTCTGTGGTCAGTCCCAGCTCTGTCATAGACTCCCAGTATGACCTTGGGCAAGTCCCTTAATCTCTCTGGGTTCAGGTCCCGTCTGCACAATGGGGAGAGAATGACCCTCCCTTTGTCTATTTAGAAGGTAAACTCTTTGGTGCAGGAGCTGTCTCTTCCAGTATGTGTCTGTGCACCACCCAGCACAATATGGCCCCAATCTCCTTTGTGGTCTCTGGGTGCAAACAAATAATGACATGTGAGGACTGCTGGAAAACTCAGCAGTGCTTTGCAGTCAGAGTTTGCTGAGTCCCAGTGATTTGAGCCTAGAGGACATGGGGAATCCCTCTTCTTCAGTGCTCCTCCATGGTCAGATCCCTTGACTCTTTTGTGGCTTTGTTGCAGTCCAGTTGATTGTCAGGGGGTTGGTTTTATGGTCAGCGCTGCCACATTCTGCCTCCCTAGCATCTGGCACTGTGACAAACCCCTGCCCACAGCAAAGTCAGAGCGTTCACTCACTGAATCTGAAAGAAAACCCCAAAGAACCCCAAAATGGCCAAGTGCAACGAGTGAGCAGGACTCTGCTACTGGCTACGCCAGTTTCTCCTCAGGCTGGGGATGGGGAAAGATATTGGAGCAGGGGCGGGGCTGTAAAACTGCGGGGAGATGCCATCTCTTTCGTAGTGTTAATTAGAAGTCTTTTTATATTTTTTTCTTCTAGTTCCAATTTCAAAGCCTCATGTTGTCCTTGCATCATCCACCGTGCTGGAGCTAAGTGAGTATTTCACCCTGAACTGCTCCCACGAGAATGGCACAAAGCCCACCTACACCTGGATGAAGGACGGCAAGCCCCTCAGCAACGACTCACGGCTGCTTCTCTCCCACGATCAGAAGGTGCTCACCATCACAAGAGTCCTCATGTCTGATGATGACATTTACAGCTGTCTGGTAGAAAACCCCATTAGTAGCGGGCGCAGCGTCCCGATAAAGCTGACGGTGTATAGTAAGTATTCCGACGGCGTGGACATGTGGGGGAAGGCATACAGTTTGTGTGGTGACATTGTCCATTCCACATGCTGTAGAAACTCTCCAGCCTGGCACACACGGGGAACACGAGATGGTGGTTTCAGGCAGGACATGTTTAAATCCAGTGAAATGCCCGTGGAAAGCAGTGCACAATTGTGACGTGTGGTGGAAATCTGCTGATAGGTGTAAAAGGGGCCCCTCTTCACTCAGCACCGATATGGAGCCAGCCCTTCAGCGGCGCACTAGGGAGTTCTGCACTGCAGGAAGGGTGCCAGTGGCTCAGTGGGAGGTTCTTCGCTTCTTGGGTCAGTATTGACTTCAATGCCCACAGGGAGCTGATAGAGAGCCCAATGCTACAGAGAGGGAGGTAAGTCACTCATTAGAGGTGTGCTGGTCTTTGTGTCGGCAGTGACCCAAATGCCCCAGTGAGGTGCTAGGGGTTCTGTGCCTCCTCATCTAAAACCTGAAAGCAACATTTACATAGTAATTTGTTAATGACTGAAAACAAACAAACAAATTCCTTGCCCTTTACTGGTGATTGCTCTGTATTACTAAGATTAGTTATTTGTTAGAGGAAGTGACTGAGTAATTGGTATTTGCTGATACCAAATAGGGTGACCAGATGTCCCGATTTTATAGGTATCAGGGGGTAGCCGTGTTAGTCTGTATCTACAAAAACAACAAGGAATCTGGTGGCACCTTAAAGACTAACAGATTTATTTGGGCATAAGCTTTCGTGGGTAAAAACCTCACTTCTTCAGATGCATGACTGTGGGTATTCACCCATGAAAGCTTATGTTCCAATACGTCTGTTAGTCTATAAGGTGCCACAGGACTCTTTGTTGCTTTTTACAGAGCCAGACTAACACGGCTACTCCTCTGATACATAACTACTTGCGTTTTCTCAGGGTTGCATAAAAGCAGTAATTATCTGCATGTGCAGAGCCCACAGTTTGTGGGGCCAGGTTCCCACTCTGGGGTGGCCGATCTTTTAGAAGGCTTTTGCTTTCTTACTGTATCGGAAATAGCCACTCTCCAATTCTGGGTGAGTGAAGTGCAGGTGAAATCCACCTGCCATCTGCAGCTAGAGCAGTGCAGTCTTCTGAGGCCACTTGGCTAGTCTAGCCCCTGCACATTGCCTGCCTAGAGAGATCCTGTGGTACATTCCTTAGTCCTAGCACAGATCACCCTCGCCACTGCCCTCCACACAGCACCTTCCTGTGGCAGAAAGGAGGTGCCAAGGTACCACTGAATGGCCACTTCACCCTTCCCTCTGTGCAACCCCAACGCAAGGCACAAGTGTTGTAGAGATCCTTACCCTCTCCCAGTGCATGAGAAGTGAAAGATACTGTCTCCGTACTAACGCTCACAAATACGTTCTGTGATCTTCTCTTGGGATAATATATTCTGCAGCTGAAGTTAGCCTATAAACTCCCCAGTAGTTAACACTGGTTGTTTAGTCCATGTCAAAAAATTCCTACACGCGATTTCTTTGAGAAGCCCTAGTGTCACCGTGCTTTGGAGCAGGGACTTGAAATTTGGCAGGGCAGCAGCCTTGGGGTCAGGGAAATGGCATTTGCTGCCCCCATATACATCTACCCAGATTTGGCATCTGAAAATCACTGTTTGCACGTGCTCACCAGGAGTCTGTTAAGACAAGTAGTGAAATCTCAGAAGACTCCATCACAGGGAGCGAGCTCCAGCCCACGGCTGCAAGGCTGAGCAGGGCTCTTCCTGCAATTGCTCCTCCAGGTCAGTGGGGATCAGTGTGGCACCGGTCACAGGACTTGAGAGCAGGGAGACTCTGTCCTGTGCTTGCTGCTTCCCTGCGATGCCCAGCTGCATGGGGGAGGAGGGGCTGCAGGGAAGGCTGAATGCATAGGACAAGGCCAGGCTGGGGACAGGGCAGAACAGGGGGCTGGGGACTCATGGAAAGGGACAGAGACATTCAGTGTGTGGCCCTGCCTCGCCTGCCGCCACCATCCAAACCTGGCATTGACGAGGCGGGGCTGTGTCCGTGGGTGTCTCCGCGGCGCCCATCACTGCGGTATCTGAGCCTCACACACATCGGGGGCTTTGTTTGCACTGTCTATCAGGCATCCTGCAGGCTCTGTCTTCTGGGGAATGTTGTATCCCTCATGGGGCACAACCAAGGGCTAGGCTGCATTGTTGGGCACAACCCTCACTGTACTGCTACTGAACTCAAACGTCTCCCTAAGTTAACAGAGCATTAAAATGCATGCAATTCCCACCGCAGTCCATGACGCAAAACCCAAACATCAGCCAGGCTGCTAAGGTCTCTCCTGGCATGTTAACAACCAGGGCCGACGGGGGGCGGGGGCGCAGCCGGTACAAATTACTTTCCCCCCTCTCATCGGCCCTGTTTAGCTGGTCCGCCCTTGCTGGGGGGGCCTGAAAAAAAATATTCACCGGGGCCCGAACCCGCTCTCGGCGGCCCTGTTAACAACCCAGCTGGTCCCAAAAAGTTAAATGTTGGTTCCATGCTGGAAATGACTGAGGGTGAGAAGGCAGGAAACTGTGTCCTCTTTAGCCTTTCAACTCTTCTCTGAAGTGAGGAAGAGTCACTGATGTGCTGAACTTGTCCTCGGAGCTGCAGGGTAAATAGAACTACATTAGATGCCTTTCTTTGCTTGTCACAACTCCTTTCTTTTCTGTCCCTGTAGCTGGGATTCAAAGCCCGATTGTACCTGTGCCAGGGAAACGTAGCGTTCAAAGAGGGGGGCTCCTGCCTGGTCCTCTCTGTGGGGAAGGGGCCTACACAGTTCCATTCCCCTGACACCCTTGTCTGTGTCATGCTGTCTGGACCCGCCCGTAACAAAGTGCCACAGTTCTGTCCTGCCCAGCCTTGTGTTAGCCTGGGGGTGGGGCCAGAGCCTAACCCAGCTTTGTAATCACAGGGTCCAGTTACAAATCGGGTTTAATACCGGACCAATGCAGAATGTTTGCAGGTGGATGTGAGGGTGCCAGGATTTTCTGGGTCCGATGCTCATGCAGAAGTATCCTAGTCACTGAAATGCTGCTCTTCACAGCCAGGGCTTGAGGAAACCTTGCCAACTTGATAGCAGTGAGTGGGATGGGGACCTCTTACTTTTGAAGTAATCAGGATTCTCAGGTAGATTCTTGGGGCCAGCTGCCAGGTGCAATCTCAGAAGAGAGGGTGGTTTGGGTCTGGCTTCCCTTATCTGTGTCCCTTAGGGGGCCAGTCTCTTGTGGCACCTGGAACATCTTCCATAGTCATCAGGGCTTTCAGGCCAGGAATGTTACTCGATTCCAATCGGGGTCAGGGTAATTAAAAATTAAACTGTCAACAGACTTTGTTCTAGTTGTTTATAACATTCTAACACACACACACACACACACACACACAAAATGTTCATTTAA